TTTTGTGGACATTGGCACCAATGGAAGAATTTCTGACGGAGGAGTCTACAACAAATGTTCCCTTGCAAGAGCACTAGAGGACAATGCATTGGGAATTCCAAAAGCAGAGGAATGTGCAGGATTTTCTAAAGAATTGCCGTACGTTCTGGTGGCGGACGAAGCATTCCCTCTAAAAACGTACATGATGAAACCCTTTCCTAGATTCAGTCTCACCCCATCATATTGGATTTTCAACTACAGGTTATCCAGGGGCAGACGAGTCATTGAAAATGCATTTGGCATAATGGCCAATAAATTCCGAATTTTGTTACAACCTATCAATTTGGATATCGAGAAAATTGAAGAAATTGTTTGGACATGTTGTTGCCTGCACAACTTCCTGAGAGCCACATCAGGAAATGATAACGAAACTGACAAAGAAGACGAAAATGGTAACTCTATTCCTGGCTCTTGGCGCGAGGAAGTCATTCCACAAGGAAGTTTCGTTTTTTCGTCCAGACCATGTGGTCGACGACAACAATAGGCAGCTAAAAGTGTCCGCGAAGATTTTGTAAGATACTTCAATGGTTGCGGAGCTATCCCATGGCAAGAGAAGTATGCCAGGAAATGAATTCCTTTTGGAAGGAAAATTTGTTTAATTTTTAGCATGGTAATAAAGATGACAATCGGGGAGAAATGTTTCTTTTATGACGACAGAGCTAAAAAAATACCACAGTTACCTCAGACTGGCTTTCTTCTGCTTTCCCATCATCTTCTTCATTCAAATTCGACTTGCTCTGCTTAGGTACAGCTTGATTGCTCAAGAACAGCAGATCCTGCAAACGAGAAATTAGTCGCAGCAACAATGTGTGATGAGAGAAATTGTCAGATAAAAGGTACCATAAGGATAACGGCCATGAACCTCAATAGAAGATGCTTTATATTAGAAAGCACTTGCTAAAACTTCTTAATAATAATCATATTAATATTTAAAAAAAATTTATATCTAAAAATATAAAAGCTATTGCTCAAAAACTGTTCTTAAGAACGAGAAAATATAACATTCACCAATTTTAAACTCATAAGGCTAACTTCAAGAAAATAGAAATAAGACCCACCTCGTAGTACCACAAAGATGGTTTCTGAGAAGGAGACATCCCCGACTTCATTGCTGCAAGGTATTTGCTATGGGTTTCATAGGACTTAGGGACATAGGACATAGGGTTTCATAGGGAATCATAGGACCCATTGGGTCCTATGATTGTGAAACTTCTTGTATACTTCCTTAGATGCAACACCCAGTTGGGTTGCTATTTTGTTTAAGCTTGCATCTCGAACATTTGACTTATAATATGAAGGATGCTTGCAGTTCCACAAGTTTTCTCATTCCTTGTACAAGGAAAAAAGCTCTCTCAGAGTTTCTCGACTCCATGGATCATTCTTCGCCGCATCCATTGCGCAGAATAAGTCAAAGCACGCTTGCGTGCACTCCTCAGAAGAAAACCAGGCGATCTTTTCCTCCTCGCTGGAGAGCCTCTCCTTCAAGTTTCTCGACTCCATGGATCATTCTTCGCCGCATCCATTGCGCAGAATAAGTCAAAGCACGCTTGGGTGCACTCCTCAGAAGAAAACCAGGCGATCTTTTCCTCCTCGCTGGAGAGCCTCTCCTTCACGCCGGAGAGCTCTCCTGCGTGGCACTCAACCTAATTTAAACGAAGCGGCAGCACTCCTGCAAGCACGTGCACTCCTCAGAAGAAAACCAGGCGATCTTTTCCTCCTCGCTGGAGAGCCTCTCCTTCACGCCGGAGAGCTCTCCTGCGTGGCACTCAACCTAATTTAAACGAAGCGGCAGCACTCCTGCAAGCTACTCCTGAGTGGCACTCCCGAGTGATCACGCCTCGTCTAAACAGGCCTTTAGAGAGGCGTTTTCCTTGAGCATATTTATGCTATCCATCTGACAGTGGCTAGAACCAAACAAAGGTTCATACGATTGGCGCCAGAGGACGCCAAAGTAGGGTAGTGGTAGACCGGTTCATCACCAAGTGATGAACCGATCCCCAGTGATCGGCCACAGCACATAAAAATTCCAACAGCTAAGCGTCCATAGCTCGCCTACCTACCCCTGTTGTGACATTGGCTAGCACCATTGAAGCACATAAACACTTCAAAGGTGTTCATGGAACAAATGCCTAGTTTTTGGAATTTTCCTGCTACGTGGCCTTCATTACAGACACCACAGTGGAAGACATTTGAATTCTTCAACAATTTGTTTCATGAGGTAACCCAGTCCAAGGAGTCTTCGGAACACTTAAGATAAGGGCATGGAGGAAGGATAGTTCAATTTCCAAGATGACTTCACGGAGAAATAACAAAGCAGTGGATCCATATCATCGCTCTGAAATATCTATCAGAAGAATCTCACTCGCCCGCAAGGATGAGTATACTATCATTCCTAAATGAAGAAAGATCAAGACGTATTTTCAAACTCTCAGAAGTAGAACAGAAGATTTTAGCGATACGAGGTCATTTTTATGTCCACACGTCTTCAATATCGGCAATACAACGCGACACAAGAGCGCATTTTCAGCACTGAACTATCTCGATTTAACATTGCCGTATCATTGAATCAGCCTCTCACCCAACGTAATAGAATATTGCCACCTTGAAACTTCAATACTATTTTCTAAAAAATACCGTTCTAAAAAATAAAACCCTGGGAAGTAACGGACGGGACGATCTCCTCCATCTTTCATTGATCGAAACTCCTACACGAGTCGTTCATGTACGAGGGGCAGTCAAATGAAACGTAGCGGAAGCCTGTGATGTAATACAGGAGCGCTGACCAGTGGTCATCGTTGGTGGGGTGGTAGCCCTGCTTGTCGGCTTGCAACACCGCGCAGGGGTTGGCGCCCCTGCCATTGTCGCGCTGACAGGGGCTTCTCGAATATGGCGGTGTACAAGATGGAAGCGTCCAAGGAAGAGCAGCGTGCAGTGATTCGATTTCTGACTGCCGAAGGAGAAAGTGCAGCAGGAATTCATCGCAGAATGCTTGCAGTGTATGGCGAACATTGT